CCGATTTTAAATGTAAGTGACAAAATAGAATCCCTTAAAAAAAACACACACGAGTGCCATGACGCGTTTACGCTCTTCGTAATGTAATGTTTAGATTGGTAGTTTAGTGTACGCAAGAGTATCTTCAGCAAATAAAGACATGGAACCGGAGCTTGAATGTATTAATCCATCAACAAATAAAGCGGATGGATTTGGTGAATTAGAAGGTGGATACGTGATTAAATGTTCGCTAAGATATTGCAGAAAGTAATTCTCATACTCATTTATTTTACATTTATCTTTATCATTTCAAGCTTTTTAAACTAATGGTTGGAATTTTAATTATAAACGATAGGTTATTATTAAATGAAAATTCGATATTATCATTATTAAAATTATTAGAGCAAAAATACGAATTTGAAATGGCGATTGGAATGAACGGTAAAATTTGGATAAAATCAAAGACTATTGGCGATACTATTATTTGTTGTAATATTATTAAAAATGCCGAAACTTTGAATAGTGGTAATACTAATGTTGATGAATTTAAAAGATTACTCAAGATATTTAGATAGAAAATTAAAATGCGTTCAACTTGCTTTTTTTTTTTTTTTTTCTTGTCCTCTTTTAATAAAATGCATAAAAAATTCTTATATCTTTACATAATAATATTTAACAAATTCTAATTCTATATAATATAATTGAAATTTATGTACATAATATCTATAAATATTGAATTAAAAATAACTTTAATGATTTATACAGAAATATTTTACAAGCAAAACTTTTAAAACTAAAACGAAAATTTACAAAAGCAAAAAAAAAAAAAAAAATTTGCTCTTGGAAAAATTCAACATTCAAAATAAGCAATTAATTAAGAAAAAATTAGTAATATTGTTGTGGTTGTACTAATTACATATTATTGTCCAGTAATCTGTTTATATTCAAAATAACTTAATTAATCACTTATTAGTTATATAAAGAAAAAAAGGGGGAAGTTAAAAAATTTATTGAATTTGAAAGAGGTTTTTTTTTGTTTTTTTCCATTTTCATTCAAATATTAATGTAAAAATTAAAAAAAAAAAAGGGTAAAAAAAGAAAAAAAGAAATTCTATACAAATGTTACAAAGCCCAATTTTTTTTTTTCCTTACACTAAAAAAAATCCTATTCCAAAAGGTAACAATAATCTCAAAGTCCAATAATAATAATAAAATCTAACTACCAAGGAAATATTAAACAATTCGGAAAATAAAATATTAAGAAATTTATAATTTTTTTTGGTGAATAAGTTTGCTTTTCTCTTTAAATAATTTTCTTTGGTTCTCATCTTTCCACTATGCTACGTCGACAAATTGGACATTTGTCGGAATTTTTAAACCAGGAGTCGATACAATCTTGATGAAAATCGTGCGAACAAGGCAAATCTCGGAGTAGATCATTGCTTTCATAACCCGTTAAACATATTGTGCATCTATAAAAATTGAAATAGTGTTAATTCAAATGCATTAAATATATAGTTATGAAATGCAGACAATTTCCGCACCTCTCTTCAGCAGTTTTGCTCTTGCCCATTATAAACGTTTTTGCCGGTAGGGTTTTTATGACATCTTCGGAAACACCCTTAGGTTTTGCATCACCGATACGTTCGCATAATCGAAGTAAACCTTCGTAGCTGGAGTCAAACTCATCCTCATCCTATATAACAGAAAAAGTAAAATTAATAAAGTTGAAATAAAAAAAAAATTTTTTTCAAATTCATAAATAATTAAAGTAATTACTAGATAATTATCCGGATTTGCTGCAATACCATTACTAGATAAGAATTTTGAGGTCTTATTATTATTACATTTATTAAAAGAATTTTTGCGATGTCAAATTTTGAATCGAATGCGTACCCCCAAACAGGCCATAGATCCAAAAAGTCTTCCAATTCTATTTCACCCGAATCAATAAGATTCCCCAATAAAGGATAATGTGGGATAAAATGATGGTGTAGATAATTGCTCGCACTGCTTGACCTTCCACCATTTCTAGATTGACTACCTCGTGAACCGTGACCACGACTTCGAGGAGGTTCGTTACCACGTTCTTCATGGTGATTACGTTCATGGGATAAAATTTCTGGTAATCTTGCGGTTCCACGCGTTGATGCGTTCCTTCTAGAAGATTCGTTGCGCGATGAAGATGATGAACCCGAAGTTGTTTCTCGACGATTTGCATTAGAACGGGCTATGTATCAATAAATTAAGTCTTAACGTTATTGAAAATTTTTTATTAATTTGAAACCCTTATTAAAATATACCTCTGCCAGCACCTAGGAATCTAGCTAAAACATTCTGTTCATCAATCTAAAATTAAAAATCGCCAAATTTTAATAAAATGTAAGAATGTAAAAAGATTTTGTATACAGACTTACAGTGTTTTGAATACTACTGTATTCATATGCTTGCATTCTTCTCGCTATTTGTTCATCAGCAGACAGTGAACCGTCATTTGTAGGATTCGTTCTTGCTGCAGTAGCTGCAGCTAACGCTGCCAGCGTTCTAGAGCGAGGATGATCGAGTGCATTATTATCTTGACGTGACTCGTGACGTCTAGGTGGCCTAAATTGAGGACGAACTGCGGTAGATGTTGTTATATTTACTTCACTATCTGAATTTTCCGGTAATTCAGTAAGATTGTCCTGTTCTTCTTCATTTCCAAGTATCCTAGCAACTTCTTGTATAGAAGTACTAAAATTTGTATTATTATTATTATTGCTGTTGTTATTGTTGTTGTTGTTGTTATTATTATTATTATTATTATTACTATTACTATTACTATTATTATTATTTCTATGAATCATTGTATTGCGACGGTGAAAATTCTGATTTGGCATGATTGGTCTTGTCAGTATTTCTGTACGCCCTCTAGGGTCTCGAGGTGTCCATCTGGGGGGTATTGAAGATGACGTTGGCGATGTCCTTGAAGCCTGTGATAAACCCGGAATAGTATGGTGATGAGGAGGTCTTCTCTCTGGTGGTTGAAATACTTCGGGATACATAACGATCGGTATATCTGGACTAGCAGGAGCAAAATTAGAACTATAACCTTGTTGTTCATCAACATTGTGATTAGGTGTAGAAGTGGGCCTTCGTGGCTCGACAGGTTGAGGGACTGTCTGATTAAAGTTCCTTCTTGGAGGAGGATTAAACATTGTCCGATGATAAAAGAAAGACGGCGGTTGAGAATGTAAACGAGCATATGTAGGTTCGGTTGATGGAGTCGTAACAACTGCAGATGACGATCGCGAATTTGCGGAGAAAACCCTCGTACGATTTGATGAATAATTTCCCAATATATATGGAGGTGGTGATATAGGTGTATGATGCGCAGGACGAACAGCATCGTTGTCTGGTGAGAAACCAAAGAAAGATTCTCCATTTCCTGCTGATCTGTTGTTATTGGGCAGTGGAGGAGATGAAGATAATTGCGTTGACCTTAAATTTTGATTCGGTCTACTCGATATATCACTATTAACAGGCTCCAAAGACCCAAACTGTATAGATTGAGGCCAATCATTAGAAATTGATCTCGCCCGTTTCCTTGAGGAAGTGGCATCGTAAGAAGTAGATGAAGAAGCTCCATCATCGTCTTCTTCATCACCACCATTATCTTGTGACTCATTTGGAAAACCAAATCTCAGTGGACTTTGCTTTTGTTGATTTGATGCAGAAGATGAAGCTGACGAAGCAGATGATATCGATGACGAAGCAACAGTCGCATCCGTACTATTAGGATAAATTGGAGAAGGATGATTAACATTTGGAAATCTAAATATACCCTGAGGTGATGGTGGCGAAGAAAAATGATCGGAAAATGAAGAGATATTAAGCCTATTATTAGTATTAGGATCATAAGTTCTTGTAGGAGAGGAACCATTCCTTGAAGGATGTAAAAATCTATTTAAGAAAGGTGAAGGAGGATCCGATCCGATAGACCTGTTACTTATGTTAGAAGTAGAGGTAGGGATTGAAGGATTATTTGGGACCAATTGTATCGGAGGTAGAAAATTATTATTATTGTTGTTGTTATTACTATTAGGTGATCCATTGTTATTTCGATTTATGTTAAAATTATTCCCATTTTCAAATGTTTGACTTTGTATGTTTGAATTATTAATAATTTGTTGTTCTTCTTCATTGTCTTCAGATTCTGTTTCTGAACTACATACATCCATTTCATCATCGTCGTCTTCATCTTCTGTGGTGGTAAAAGAAGTACCATGATTGTGATAATTATATTCAATTTCCCCTTCGCTATCTGTTGTACCCTCCATTCCTCCCTCACTGTCGTCTTCTAGGTTAGATTCGTTGGAAAAAGTTGGTGTGCCGGTATATCCTTGTTCGTTATCGGAATCACCTGCAGTAGCTCTAGTAGTGTAAAAATGGAAATTTCTTTGGGCAGAATTGACATACGTATAAATATCGCTAACTCCAGAATGCGACATTACAACAGTGGAGAAGCTACTTTTGAACTAAGCCTTTTATTCAAAATTAACAACAAAAAAAAAAAATATTAAACAATTGCAGAAAGAGAGTAGCTTTGAAGGGTTAACTTGTTGCGTTTTATATTACAACACGTCTTGTTTTTTGTATTTAGAAGAATTTTTTAATGAATAACTATACAAATTATAAAATACGGAAAAGGTATGAAAGGCTTTAAGGGCTGACACACTGCTGACAGGGAAAAAAATTTTTTTGGGGCCCTATTTATAAAGGGAGGACAAGTTGAAGTAACTTCTTCTTATATCACCGATAAGAAAACAACGACGTAATCTTAATTAATAATATTGTTCGGCTTTTGTCTTGTTGAATTTCACCGTCTCAGAGTTAAGTCAAAAAAAAAAATAGGGTATTTTTTCCCTTTTTGTCTGAGCTTATTAAGAATATTTAGTAACAATCAAATGGATTACTGTCTATCGTATTCGATTTACTTTTTTTTTTTTAAAAGTATTGTTGCTCTGTGTGTTATGAAAGTTTTGTGATAAAAAAAGAACAAAGTTTGAAAAAGAACAGTTTAAGAACAAAACAACAAAAAAAAAAATATAAAGTACAAATACATACGCAAATAGATAAATAGGAAAATATAAAGTTAATCAAGATAAATATTAAAAATAATAGAATTCCACGAAGTTTCAGGCAAGTGGTCGCAAGAATTTAAGGATGGGAGAAACCGTGAAGGAAACTTGTTGAACATTGGTGCCTTCTATATATAATTGATAAAAATATGAGCGAAAATTAAAAATCTCGATGACGAATGACTATATTTCTATATTTGATCTGATACGATAGGACCTGATATGGTGATAGTAAAATAATTTTATATATATAAGCATGATTTTCTCATATTTTTTTTTTTATACGTAAATATGTAAATAATAAGTGTTTTCAAAAAAAAAAAAAAAATACAGGAAAGAAAAGCATTACAGGAAAAAAAAAAAAGGTTGAACACTAGCTGCTAATTGGGAGAACAGTTTAAACGTTTACGCAAACAACTATTAACGTAGTACTAGGCATATTGACTATCAAAATAAATTTTTTTTTATTTTTATTTTTATATCTTTTTTTTTTTTTTTTTATTTTTTCAAATGAAACAACTATATTAAAATTACAATAATTAGAATAATTGAAACCTTTAAAGTAGATAAAACCAGAATTATTTATTTCATTTAAGACACCCGGACATGTTTTTCATGTTTTCATGTTTTATTTAAGCAACAAAAGCTAAAGCCGGCATGTGTTTATGCAAATAAAGCTCAACTTGTCCAATCCGAGCCAATCACATGATCGTCCTTTTATGACCGTAGGAGAGTGTCCACGGAGCGAGGTGTGAAGAATTTGATTATGGCAGCAATCGAATGGGATGATGATTTTTTAAAATCAAAAAATAAATGAAAAATTTTAATTGTAAAAAGTGGCATGTGAATACATGAACTGATGCTTTTCATTCTAAACTTCATTCCTCCAAAATAATTTCTTCCTTGTTTCTTTTGAAGGAAAGGGGAAACAAAAACCTTCAAGCATCAGGGTCAGTTGATGGAACCACAACATAATCGTCAAGGTACGATACATATCTATACCATATGTAATTAATGCATCCATCCAATTATTTTGTTTTTCGAGCCAAATCTTTGTTTATTCTATGAAATCATAGTAGGAGTTTTAAATTTCGGAAAAAAAAAAAAAAAAAAAATTGAGCAACTTGAATGGTTTAAATTATCGTCGGTTTAAATCCGTGAAATTTTTTTTTTTTTTAGCCATTTCATTAGCAAACTTCCCCAACTTTCCCCCCCCCCCCCCCTTTCATCAACCGACTTCGGAATCAACGTTTCGGTGATTGATCAGCCAATCTTGGTTCCATGAAACAATAATAAATTCAATTGAAAAAAAAAAAAATATTTACATTTTAATTAATACTTGTATAAATTATAAATAATAATCTACTTTAATGATATCTCATCTCATGATTTCAGTTTGTCAACGATTTGATTTTCTTTTATAAGCAATTCTTCCGTTCCTCTTTTTGCAAAATGATAAAAATAAACTTGTGAAATAAAAAAGTAAAAGTCAAAGCCTCAGAATTATATAAGATTAAATAACCGCAGTAAATAGGGACTCAGCCGAAAATAAAAAAATCAAGTTCATTCATTCAATTGGGTTACACATTATTTTATATTTGTTTCAAATTTTCGCCCCCCAACAAATTCCCTGTTCATAGAGGTTGATTTACACAATAGTTTGCTACATATTCCGCTATGAATTCCGCTCGGTGTGTCAATGTGTCAATTCTTGCTGAAAACGGGAATTATCATACGGGAAACGAAAAAAAAATTTTTTTTTTTTATATATAGATATATATATATATATACACTGCAGAATTGTCATTTTTGGCGTATCAACCATCTAAAATATACAATAACTTTTTGATTTTTTCATTATAGTTTAATTGATAATTTCAGATGTTAAAATGTTCAAAAATGCCTCGTTTGGTTAAGTTCTTGTCACGCACAAAGATAAGCCACCCAACTACCAAAAATTCAAAATGTTTGTCTTCCAAAAGATTATCATTCATTTTCTGACCAAAAGTTTATAACATTCTATCTTAATGTTTGGATTATAAATTTATTTATTATTATACTATTTTTTTTTATTATATTATTGTTTTTGTATATATTATATATGTTTGAATATAGAAATGTGTTGGCGGAAAAACTATAATTGACGTCAGCGATATGTACATATTTAATACGTCATTCGCAATAAAATTTTCCCGTTTATCTTTTTAAAAAAAAATGTTTATCCACCAAAAACGCGTTCTCCCGTAACGTGGGATGTTTTTTCACTTTCTCCTCGTTTATGAGAATAAAAATCTGAACTTTCGCGAGTTCATAAAGCACTTAAGTCAAGTCCACTTTTTCTTTTTTGTTTTTAAATGAATTTTCTATGAAGAACCAATTTCATAAGACTTCTTGTTAAACCACAATACCAGTGTTTGGGCACAACTGACCTAGGTTTTAGATGTCAAAGTCTTCTTGCCATATGGGATGTCATGTCAAATGGAATTATGGAAATACCGTACTAGTTGAATGTTGCTGATTTAACTCTCCCAATATAAGTTTCCATGATAAGGCGACTAGGTCGTTAACGCCGAATCTTGTATATTGACTATGTGACCTATCTTTCGACTTTATTGAATGCCTGTTGAGTTCAAAGGGTGGAATATAAATACAAATACAAATGGTATGAAGAAAGATAAGGAAGGCTATTGTAGTAGATGCGCACTCTCTTTACTTAGGAAGTTGGCAGGCAATATTAACAGAACTAATCTGTTCTTGTCATGAAAGTGCTAGCGGCTTTAATTACAATTCTACTTAGGACAACGAATCAGAAGAGGAAGAAGGAAGAAGGTTTCAACAATCGTTCAATTTCTTTTCTTTTTTGTTACAACGTCCAGAAATTAGTGGTAAGGCTCAAGATCACGTGGATAACAAAATCATGTTTGACCATCACCCCAGAGTATGAATGATTCAACACCCAGAAGAATCTGAAATACAATAGATGTCCACTTACATTGATTATAAATATATTTGAAGAAATAGAGTAGCGGAGAAAAACTTAATTACAAATTATTTTATTAAAACGGGAAGAATGAATGAAATGCATGCCAAATAATTAGATGAAAAACATTAGTTATGATATTATTGGGAGTACTTGGTTACCAAATTCTGAGCAATGTTGAAAAGGAGTATTAAAAAATTTATATTGCTTGTGTTTCATCTTCTCATGTATTGTAACGTCCTTAAATTTCATACAGTATTCGGAAATGTAGTTTCCTTATTTTATTGCATTAAAGAGAATTTCATTTGAAACGAAAGATTTGGAAGTAAAGACATGATTGTTTCAGCTGCGGCACGTGATTTCAGCTTGATATTTGGTTGCATGAAAAAATTTAATTGGTTTAATTGGATCATGACCCTATTCAAAAGGGAACACGTTTCTCTGCTACTTGATTAGTACCAGGATAACCTCATTTAAGGAGGTATTGTAAGCTTGTACTACGTAAATGCAAATGCCCGCGCTGATTCCAAATTTGGAAAATTGCGTCAGCAGATAGTTTGTCAGTAACGCTTTACCTTACAGTCCGAATTTCACCAACTTCTCAAGTCATGACTGAATATCAATCTCTTACGAATCTTATCAAACGTTTAGAAGCCGCCACTTCTCGTCTTGAGGATTTGGGTACCTCTTCTGCTGCTGCTAATAATTTAAGTCGCACTTCGGCTGGTGGTCAACCTTCTGCACCTTCACTTGTCTCTTCGCAAAGCAATGACGCGGTTGGTGGAGAAGTTCCTCCCACTCTTGCTGCTTATGACGAACTAATTGAGGGTCCCTTAAAAAATTTCCTTGAACTTTCAAAGGTGATTGGTGGTATTGTTGAAGACCAGGTAAATCTTGCGGCTCAATGCCCTACATGATTCATATTGTTTTTATTTTACCTCCTTTAACTCGAATTTCAAAATTTCAGAGCCACGCAGTTGAAGATCTCTTCATCGCACAGCGCGATTATATTTATATAACCACTCAAAGTTCAAAACCAAACACCGAAACCATTTTGGAGTTAATCAAACCTACTCAACAATCTCTTGAAAAGGTTGTTGACTATAAAGAGAAAAATCGTCCTTCTCCTTTCTTTAATCACTTATCCACCGTTAGCGAAGGTATTGGCGCGTTAGGTTGGGTTACTTTTGAAGAAAAGCCTGCACCATTTGTTGGGGAATTGAGAGATAGTTCTCAATTCTATGCACATCGTGTAATCAAAGAATTTAAAGACAAGTAAGGAATATATATCTCGTTATGATATAAAAAAAAAGAATTATAATTAATTTTGATCAACTTTGATTTTTTTTTCTACAGGGAACAATCTCAATCCCATGCTGATTGGGCCAATAGTTTTGTTTTTTTGTTGACGGAACTTCAGAATTATATCAAGAAATGTCATATGACTGGTCTTGTCTGGAATCCAAAGGTTCACATATTTTCCTTAAATGCTTTATATTTTTATATTATATTTTTCTAATTCTTTATCATCATTATTTAGGGTGCAAATCCCAAGAATTTTATTGGAAGAAAACCTGCTTCTCCTTATTCGTCCAATATATCTCCACCATCTGCTCCTCCGAGTGGCCCACCACCACCACCACCTCCGCCACCACCACCGCCCACAAACTTTGATGATCTGTCCTCATCAGGAGGCAAAGTTGATATGAGTTCCGTGTTTGCAGAACTTAATAAAGGAGAGGAAATTACTTCCGGCTTGAAAAAAGTTGACAAGAATCAAATGACACACAAAAATCCTAGTTTGAGAGTCAGCAGTGTTGTTTCTGATACTGGAGGTATAGTACGATGATGATTCTTATTAGTATAATTAAATCAAAAAATTAAATTTTTTTTTTTTTAAAAAAAGCAAAAAAGAAAGCAATTAAAGGACCTGCCGCTCCACCGAAACCAGCTTCGTTGTCTCTTAAAAAACCACCGAAAAAGACTTTAATTGGCAATAAATGGAATATAGTAAGCGTAAAAATGAATGGCTTTTCAGACCTT